CGCGTCATCAAGCCCTCCAAATAAAATATTTAGTGGCACTTGCTTCCCAAAGAGGCGAGTGTGCCTCTCCTTGGCGTCAGGAGTGCTCTGAGTAAGGTGTCTCCGCGGGCTTGGCTGATAGAGCGCGCATCCTGGTTGGGACTAGGGTTGGGGAGAAGACAGAATAAGCAAGTGTCGCCTCTTGAGAATGCATGTGGCAAGGTGACTTCACAAACAGTCACCGAGAGAGAGGGAGAGAGAGAGAGAGAGAGGTGACGGGAAGAAGGAGGCATCATGGAGAGAAAACTCCCGAGGTTGACATCAGACAATTGGGGTTAGGAAGAAATGCTAGGGTCCCCAAGTCATGGGCACATGCTCACTGGTTTCTACCAAACCGAGGATGGAAACTTCATTCTAAGACCGATCATGGAATGATGGCGTTCAAGAAGAGCTGGAAATATTGACAAATAAATTATTAATAGCATGGGCTGATGTATCTCGTGTATCTCGAACATTTCCAACGGGCTGGATGTCATTCCAAGCGCTTTATCTGTGTTAACTGACTACATCGTAATAATCCAATGAGGTAGATGCCGCTACTAATCCCATGTTATGTAGATAGTGACATAGCATCACAGAATGGCTGAGGACCTTGACCAGGTTTACACAGCTGTCAGCTCTGTTTGAATCCAAGCATCTTGGGTTCAGAGCTCACGCATTTAACCATTAGAACACACTGCCCGTCACCAGAGGCACAACCATTCTGCTTTCCGCTGAACTCAGACAGGAGACTCAATCCTTGCCAGCGGGGCCCCGCTTTGGGATGGCTACCTGGTAATAACCAGCCTTGGCATAGAGAGATGGAAGCTCTCAACTTGGCTGTTAAGTCTGTTGTCCTTGTGAAAGCCACACTCCCAACGTGGACTGTGAGCGTCCCCTGGCCAGCCCTGCACGGCAGGTCATGCCTCCTCTTAACCCCAGCTCACCAGGGCCCACGGCTGCCAGATCACAGGCCCTAGGGGCCGTCTGTCCCAGAGCAGATGCTGACTGAGGGACGAGAGGGAAAAGCCCACTGTGGTGGTCTGGTGAGAACTCCTGGCCTAAGCAGCCTTACCAGGGAGCCTGGAAGGACCTCAGTCTCAATTACACATTCTAGGAGCAAAAGGAAAGGAGCTCAAGGTATCACTTCACCTGAAAGAAGAGATCTTACAAACTGGTTAATTCAGGCCCCCTTTATTTTAAGATGAAGAAACAGGCTCAGGGAGATGCCAAACAAGATTAATGCCATAGTACTCCTGGGTGACACAGGCAGGATTTGAATCCCTGGCTCTTCCTCCTGCCCCATGACTTCATACCTTCTAGGCATCGGGCCAGTTTTCCCATTCATAGTTCATAGCTCCCAGGATTCTGCACCTCCACCAGCCTCCCTGCAGGCTGCAGAGAGCTTTGTTGGGACTTGTGCAATAGTATAATAGAGAAGATCACCGTGGATCCATTCCCTTCCCGCGATACAGGCTTCACCGGGTCAGAGAGAGCCAGGGTTCAGAGGTCTACCCGCAATGTTTATTCTCATGGAAAGGAAGAATATGAACAAATAACGGAGCTCAAGAGCTCTGGCAGGATTCCTGAAACACAGTCTCCTCGAGAGGCTTCCGTGATAATAATCACGGCTGACACCGGTTGAGCATTCACCGTGCGCCGGGCGCCGTGCTCACAGGTCCCCGTGCCATCTCATTCACTCTCATGACAACCTTAGAGGTAGATTCTATAATCGCCCCCAGTCTGCCAGAAAGAGACGGGAGACTTGACTTGCCCCGGGGCCCAGATGTGTCCCCCAAGTGTGCCTAACAACAAAAGCCACTCCCTGTTCACACTGCCTCACGTGGATAGTGGGCAGGAGGCTGAGGTGGTTGATCTTAACCTCACACCGTGTCCTTTGAAGTTATCTCTGCTCCCAGAACCTTCTTCCTCCAGCCACGGGCTGACCGTGTATGTGCGGGCGTGTTGTGGAGAAGGCAAGAGCATCACGTCCACCAGCTCGGTGCCCGGGTGTCTCAGAGCACACTTTCTAAAAGACCAAACCCCATGTGCAGGGTGGTGACACATAACCACCCTCCTCACAGCTCCTGGTGGGAGACCACACTCCGCCTGAAACCAAAGGAGCTTTTCTACCCAGAGATGGGGACATGCTCGGAATGGTCTCTCGTAGTTCCCGGGGGCCGGCTGGAGAATGTGAGCATTCTGTTATTTCCTTTCCACAGCTCCTCTTGAGGAATTCACGTCCTGCTACCGGCCCCAGGACGTAGCTAAAAATAACCTCTGGTTTTCAAACCGAAAGCTCTGTCTGTCAGGAGGCTTTGCCGGTGCGCGCGTGGGGCCGGAAGGGCTGTGTCAAAGTCGCTGAGGTCAGCCTGGGCCTCATGCCGCTGTTGCTTTCCTCTTTCCAAGGAAGCCTGGGGCCTCATGAGTCACCCCAGAGGACCCCAGTGGAGCCTGGTTGGAAGAGGGCCGTCAGGTGGGG